GGTCATTGCAGTGTTGAGACCATGCAGGGCTTGTGGAAGCTTCCGGAGGGAAACAACCCTGACTCCGCCCATGGGAGCTGATCCACCCACTGACCTGGTCTCTGCTCATCAGCGTGCGGCCAGAGACTTCTCCCTCCTGTTTATCCTTCCTGGCAGCCTCTGATGTGGAGCCCATCCACCCCTCCCCCCGCCTCCTCCCCTCCCACCACAATCCTCTTTTTCCATCGGCTTCCTCTCTGTGACCAAGACTCTCACTACTGTGTCACCTTCTCCCTGAAGGCATATTGGTCACCACCCCTGTGCCAAGAGCTCCACAGACAAAACCCCCATCATGGAGCACAGTGAGGCAGGAGAGTGTAATGGTTAGCCCACAACCTCATGGTCTGTCTCCTTCCACAGAGCACAGCCCTCGTGACCGCAGAGGTGACCCAGCCTGGTCCCTTGGCCCAACTTACAGCCTTCCAAATCTTAAACAGATGATGTGACCCTCAGAAAGCCCACGTGAGCTTCAGAGGGAAGAAACGCAACCGTTAAATGGCTGTCATCCTGCCAGGCTGGGTGGACTAATAATTGTATTTGCATCCGCAAAGAGCAGCGCACAGATGAAACTACAGCCACACAGGGAGCTTACCCAGACGTGTTCCAACCCAAAAATTTGGCTAGAAAAACTAAGGTGCAGGAAGGAATGAGGCATGGAGGAGAGGTTGCCACCACCCTGGCTAACTGCTGAGGGCACGGTCAGCGATACTACACACATACACAGAGACAGAGACAGAGACAGAGACAGAGACAGAGACAGACAGAGACAGAGACACAGACACAGACAGAGACAGAGCCAGAGACAGACAGAGACAGAGACAGACAGAGACAGACAGAGACAAAGACAGAGACAGACAGAGACAGAGACAGAGACAGACAGAGACACAGACATAGACAGAGACAGAGCCAGAGACAGACAGAGCCAGAGACAGACGGAGACAGAGACAGAGACAGACAGAGACAGACAGAGACAGAGACAGAGACAGAGACAGAGAGAGACAGAGACAGAGACAGAGACAGAGAGAGACAGAGACAGACAGAGACAGAGACACAGACACAGACAGAGACAGAGCCAGAGACAGACAGAGCCAGAGACAGAGACAGACAGAGCCAGAGACAGAGACAGACAGAGACAGACAGAGACAGAGACAGACAGAGACAGAGACAGACAGAGACAGAGACAGACAGAGACAGAGATAGACAGAGACAGAGACACAGACACAGACAGAGACAGAGCCAGAGACAGACAGAGCCAGAGACAGAGACAATCAGAGACAGAGACAGACAGAGACAGAGACAGAGGTCACCAGAAAAGTTTCCCTTGATGTTGCCCTTGGGTAAGAGAAGTCAATCCTACGTGCACTCCCGTTACGACCGTCCCACTTCACAGCTTTTCCTAGAGTTGTGAAAGGTGATCACAAACTTGGGGATTTAAAACCATAGAAATTTTTTCTCCTGATTCTGAAACCGAATTCTGAGCCCTGGGGGGAGCAAGGCTACTCTCTGCAGGTTTAGGGGAAGGGAATTGGTTCTCCGTCCTGCCCAGCCCTTTGGTCTTGGGGCCGTGCCCCCCAGTGCCCTCTGAGTGTCAGGAACTTACGTAGAACTTCCTGGGTCTCCACGGCCTTCAATGTCCTGGCTCTCTCAGGAATGTGATGGCTACTAATTTTTCCCCCAGTTTTCTCAAATTAAAGTTACTTTTGATTTTTTAAATCCTGGTGTTGGTGTTGACCAACATATGCAATGACAGACACTTCCATTTAAATAAAGCAGTGAAGACATTTCCAGAGAAGATGAAACTATTAACTCCCCTTTATCTCTCCTCCAGCTCTGCCCACACCCATTCCCCACCCCACCGGCCCCTGGTGAAATGTTCATGGGAAAGGAGAAAAATAACTGGGTCTGCGTTCGCTATTGGAGATTCCAGGGAAAGTTTGAAACTACTTTTGAGAAAGCAAAATTTTAAAACAATGTGAATGAACAAAGAGATTAATGATAGAGTTGAGTGGATTATACTGGGTTATCCGTGGATTATACTTTGTCTCCCCATTTATTTGCTTACTTGGGCACCAGCTTGCTGTGGTGGCCCGCACGGCACTTCCACAGGCATTAAGGACAGGTCCACTTTATGTCTCCAAGCTCTGTCGCTGGTGCCATCTGTTGATCTGGTGGCTGCCGCCCAACTCCTGAGCAGCGAGGAGGCTCTGTCGGGAGGAAGCCCTGGAAGCACGCACAGCCTCGCCCCTGTGGAGGCTGGCGCTGACAGAGTTTCCTCTAGTCAGGACAGGGACACCTGCGCCATGCCCCACGTAGACAGTGCCGGAAGAGGGAACGGGACCCTGTGGCCAATCGCCTCCCCACGCATGTCCCTTTGTTTACCGCAGCTCCCAAGCTTCTGTTCTCACTAGAGGACACACTGCGTCCTCTCTGAATCCACTCGGTGTACGGCAGCCTCTAATGTAAAAGGCCAGGGACCACGTGAAATTACACTCAGAGAAGACGCTGAAGTCCCTGTCTTTAGACAGGAGGGAGCCCTGGGCAATCATCAGGGCTCCAGGCAGGGGAGCTCGGAGGTGCCCAGCTGTGAAGGGAGGTCCTGGCCTGGGCGCCCTGCCCCTCCCTCAGCGAGCAACCCTGCTGCAGTGTGGCCTCTGGGAGGCCTGGCTCTACCGCCGGGTCCCATCAGACCTGCGTCTGGGGCTACTCCTCTATGCTGTCTGGGTCACAGCATGAAAGCCTGTAAATCATTACAGGCTGATCTGGCACTTGTACCCCAAACCCTGCCAAGCTCAGAGTATGCAGCCCTGGACGATGTCCTCAGACACTCGGCCTCTGCACGTCCCAGACTCTGTCTGGGGGGAAGCAGAGGCCAGAGTATTGATCATGGCTCTCCTGTGGCCTGCTTACTCAGTTCTGGGTATCCTGCCCTTCTGCACCCCTGGGCCCACACCACCCAGGGCCATCTCAAGTGCTTGCCCTGGATGAAAACACAGTGTGATGCCCTTGACCTGACCTTCACCCCTGCTGCTCCCACTCAGTGCTGCCTGGGATCACTGCACCTGTGAAAGGCTGAAGTCATTTTCACCATGATGCCCGAGTGCCTTGACCTACTGGGTAGAGGGGTCAGGAGATGACCCCATCTGGGGTTAGAAAGTGTCCAAGGAGGCCACGAGGGATAGGGACACTTGCAAGGAGGCCGAGTAGGGACAGGGACTGCTGTGGTCAGCAGAGAGAAGACACTTGTAGGCTGTCAGGGCAGGAGATGAGGACAGAAGTGACCTCAGGCAGGGACGGCAAGCGGGGCACAGTGGTGGTGGCTGGGCTGTGGGGAGGAGAAGGTTTCAGGCTCCGCCCAACTCCTGAGAGAAGGACTGCGGGGGGGGGGGGGACAGGCTCTGGACTCAGGCTATGGCCACAGGGCAGGAGGGTACCACACTCTTCCCCTGGGAGGTCGCTAGGGGGCCCTGGGGATACCCTGCAGCTTCGAGGCTCGCTCCTCGCCATTGACCTGAGACACCCATGAGGACCTGGTCCCCGTGGCCCCTGTGTGGCTGCCCTGGCCTGGCCCTGCTTCCTTCTGTGATCCCTGTCATCTTCCTCAGCACCTCCCCACCTGTCCTCTCCCATCTTGGGGAGGTTCTTGGTGGTGGCACAGGGGCCCAGGATCAGGTCCTCACAAGGTATCTGGAGAAAGGAGGAGAGGAGAAACTGAGTGAAACCCCTCCCAGGAGAGCAGACAGTGGAGGGCTCCTCAGCGAGGAAGAGGTGAGGAGCAGGGAGGGACTGGGTCTGACCAGCAGTGGGTGCACCCAGACGCAGGCCACCGAACACCAGCAGATCCAGGCTGGGCAGGATCACTGAAGGCTATGGGGCCAGCAGGCTGGAGTGAGTGACCTGCTGACCCACTCCCTGCACAGCCTGGGTTCAGGTCACACTGTTCAGGCTCCAAAGACAGAGGTCGGGGAAGAGGGAGGAAAGGAAAGGGGAGCAGTGTCCTAGGAAGGCACAGCGCACCTCTGAGGTCCAGCCCAGCTGCGGGAGAGTAGAGCAGAAGACATCGGGGCTTCCTGGAGTGGATCACACACAGAAACACAGAGACACACTCACACACACAGATGCTCACACACAGAGACACACACGCACAGAGACAGGCAGACACACAGACACACCTGCTCACCACCTCAGCGCCTGGCACCCTTTCTCTCCTCCGGCACATGACACAGTGGCATGTCCTCACTCAGCAGAGGCCACATGGGGTCACCTGGGAGTGTGTGCAGGAGGGCGGGGGCACCCTGTGACCAGGATGCCCATGGAGTGGCCGATCCACAAGCTGAACTCTCACATGGCTCCTCTTACACGAGGACCCAAAGGATGAGAAGGAAATAGAAGCTAATAGGGTGAAGGGGGCTCGGTCTTTCTCAGATGGGAGGGGGCCCAACCACAGGGGGCGGGGAGGAAGGCATGGGGGTGAAGGAAGGGGGGGGGTGTGACAGGAGCCTATGAGACAGTGAGCACTGCCGACCTGCACTAATGGAAATTTATAAAAGAATCAATAGGGAGCTGGGGGTGCGGCTCAGTGCTAGAGCACTTGCCGGGGGCATGCACAAGGCCCTGAGTTCAACCCCCAGGACCACCAGAAAAAAAAAAAAAAAATACAGTGCAGCTTAACCAAAGCTTTACAATCTTAATCTCTTCCTTCCTTGAGAGCTAACCCATGTGCTTAAACAGGACTCTCAGTCAGCCAAGGCTGGTCCAGCATCAGGCAGAAGCAAAGGCGGAGAGAGGGAGTGTGCAGAGGAGGAGACTGCCAGGAAAGCGAGACTTTGCCTCTGAGCTGAACCGCAGCGCCCAGAGCTTGGCTGTGGAGAGGCCGTGTCCGGGGTCTCAGTCCCCAGGGGCCCCCCTGGGCAGCACCGGGGTTTGCGCCAAGGCAGCCGACGCTGCTTCCTCATTCTGCTCTTGAAATTACATCATACACAGAGTCTTTGAAAATCGAAGAAAAAAGGAAGAACAAACCAAAGGGCTCGGGGATCCGTGGATGAAAGTGAGGAGTAAGGCACAGAATTTTATTTCTCCTGAGAAACACCCACAGCAGGGCCTCACTTGGAGACGTGAAAGGGGTCTCCTGCAACACTGCTCTCACTGTTCCGAGGGGTGTGGAGGACCTGCACCCCACAGCCGAGAGCACATGCTCTAATTTGGTGATTTTTATCCTCCACGGTCAGTTTGACTCCTTCTCTTGAGAAAGTTTCTGAAGATACTATCAACAAATGGAGAATTCACCCAGGGTGAAATGCTCAGCATTCTCCTTTTATGAGTTTGTACTTTAATCTTTTCTTACCCTCCTCATCAAAAAAGTCCCAGTGTCACTGTGGTTGGGTTTCAGCTCTGTAGTCTTCACCAGGGGACAACTTGTGCTCTGTGTGAAGGAGGAGGAGCCCTGGGCCCCATGTGTCAGCGAACCTGCACACAGACACACACAAAGCCCCGGCACAAATGCCAACCCCAGGCTCCCAGACAAGAAGGTCAAAACCTGAGACAGGCAACCTCTGGAGCATTTCCCAAACTGGACAAAACCTGGCCCGTCTGCACATAAACACCAATCTGAAGGAAAAAAGAGTACCATCTGGTTACTGTCAGGTTTGCAGGCACATAAAAGAAGACTCAGTTTTTATATTTTGATTTATTTTCTTTCACCAAATATTCCAGGTTTCCTTTCTGCTGTGTGTACTGTGACTAGAAAAGATGTATTTGGTCTCCTGTGTTCGGTGATCAGCAGAACAGGATCGGAGCTCTCGGGTTGGTTTTTACCTTCACCCCACAAGTACCAGAAGCATTGCAAACTCTGACAAAGTGGGTTCCCAGAGAGATTTTCTCCTTGTCATGTGTGAACCAAGGTCGAGGTGACTGTCCTCCTCTGTGGGCTGTGTCCCACAAAGAACTTTGAAATCAGAAAAACTAGGCAGGGCTGGGGACTGGGTCAGGGCTGAGGCCTGGTGCTCCCAGGGGAAGATCGGGTCTACCCTGCCAGCGCTCCCAGCTCCATGGTGCAAAGGCTCCGCCCAGAGCCTGCCTCACTGAGGCCTGGAGCCCTTGCTTTCATGCTAACAAGGAAAATAGCAGAGACGCATCTGTTTTCATGCTTCCCTGATGAGAGCGCAGCAAAAAATGTGCATCCGATAGCTTTTATCCAAATAGGCAGAGACACGCTGGACCCAAACGCAGGAAGGCTGTGTGACGTTTGGTTTTAAGTTTGTGCAAGAAATTGAATTCACTTTTTACATTTACATCATGCCAAGGATCAGTTCCCCTCAACTTCTCATAATGTTCTTAGTGAGGTTCTGAGTATTTCCTGGAATTTCTTTCTTTCTATTTTATTATTTATTTATGGTAGTACCACGGATTGAGGCCAGGGCCTTAGCACTGATAGACATTCCTGGCCACTTTTAAATTTTTATTTTGAGACAAAATTCCCCAGATCGGGCACAGGCTTGTACTCCTCCTGCCTCAGCCTCTCAGAATGCTAGATTACAGGATTATAGTTCTGCTATTACTGCTCATAATGAATCACGCAAACCTTTTCAGTTGAGGCGCACTGGATGTAACAGCAGAGTGTGCCTCCTTCTTTACTGTTACACAGCACACCTGCGAATGGTGTTTAGCCTTCCCCCACCCCACCCTCCCAAAAATACCTCAGCTTGAAAAAAGTCACTTCTTTTCTTAAGTGGATGTATAATATTTGTACTTACTTATGGGGATAATTTGATCCATGGGTGTAAAGTATGAAGATCTAATTAGGGTACTTACCATTCCCGGGTCCTCAAATATTATCAGCTCCTTGTATTGGGGACCTTCAAGCCTTCCTTTTAATAATAATTTGTGTCTGAAAAATATTCAGATGAGACACACATTTCTCCTGCCTTGGCTTGGGTTACCAGGTCTGCATTGTCACTTCTCAGGGGAGAGACAGCATGAGCTCTGTGGGGTGAGAGTTCTGTACCCCCAAAGCAGAGGCGTCACCTCCTTAGGACTCAGGTACGAGGCTCAGACAAGGCTGTGATCCGTAGAGAGAATTTGGGAGGGGAGCAAAGAAATGGAAGGTTATTGGCTTTCATCTGAAAGCTTGTTTCAACCACATCAAACAGACATTTAAAGCAAATAGCCTCATGTGCTTAATAATAATAATTATGTTATTATCATTAATGTTCTAAATTATTAGACTCAACGTATGTTAAACACCCATCTGGCTTTTCTACGTATGCTATTAAAGTTTTGTCTTAGAACTAAATCTTCTGAATAATCATTTTTCCTTTTTGTGGAGTTGAGGTTCCTCCATCTGACAGTAGCGGTTAGATTGATCACCGAAGGGCAGTAGGGATATGATCTCTGTTTCAGGCAGGAAAACTGCCATCCATCACTCACACGTCCCAAAAGGAGAAGCTGTGTACACCAGACACACGGGTGACCGGGCTGGGCTGCTCTTCTAGTTCCAGGCACAGGATGGCTGTGTGCTGGGCACCACAGATCCCCAAAAGACCCAGTGGTGGCGGTGGCGGCTTAGTCCCACCATTCTGGGAGGCGCTGGGGAAGCCAGGGTGGGCTGGAGGGAGGTCTCCTGTCCTCGAAGGCCTGACTTTGAAGGGAATTATGAGCCCCTGCCCTCCTCCTTGCTCTCTCTGCTTTGTGGCCACCATGAGGCCACCAACTTGCTCCACACATGCTCCCTGCCATGACGTCCGGTGAGGCCCACAGGCTGCAGTGTGAAGCCACCACGGACACCTCTGAAGTCACAGCCAGGAGAAGCCTTTGCCTTGAGAAATCTGCTGGCCATGGGGGTTTTGCTGCTGCAATGCAAAACCGACTAATAAGTGCGCCTGAGCTGCGGAAAGGGCCAGTTTGTAGAAAAAGAGGTGTGCAGAGCTATTCGCCGAGTTTCGGTATGACAGTTTTAAAGGACCACGTCAAGAGCAGGAGAAATTTAGTTTGGTTTTGCTTTTGGTTCCTGTTTGATTCACACTGGTCTCTCCCCAGTGAGCCCCCGCACCTGAGCAGTGAAAGGTCTCCAGCCTCAGGGACCACACCAACCCATTGAGACCCAGCATCAGACACGCACCTGCATGTTTGTCCTGAGACTAATTAGCTAGTAACGACTGATTCTCTAATCACTGCCAATAAATGCACCTTTAAAACAATAAGAGCAAGATCACCTACGTAGTAAAAGAGCTAGATCACCTTACAAATAAAATAGACGCACTCGACTCGTACAACGCCCCCTGCACAGAACACACTGCTGCTCCTGCGTACAGCCTGAAGTCATGGTATCACCAAAAGCAGTCCAAAGGCAACCTGCAAGGAAAGACTGACTTTAACAATGCAGCATTAGGAACAACTTCCCCAGTTCTAAAGGAAGTGTGTGAGAGACCAGGAGTTCATTTTTTCTCAGTCTTAGAAAAATGGCCCTTTTCCAGTAAAGGGAAAGATTAGAGGTGAGAGAAAGGCAGGTTTTCAAGATTCCTCCTTTCGGTTTTGGTGAATTTTCCAGCTTACTTCTTCCTTCTCTGTGTGCCTCAAGCATTTTTAATTATGCAAAATGCCAGTCCTTGCAATGTCTCTACACAGACTTGCCCCAGCCAGCAGGAGTCCAGAATGAGGCCCTGCTAAACATTATTCTCTGCGAGAGAGCCAAGTATACATCGGAAGACACCTGGACCAAGACACAAAGACCCAAGTTCTAACGCCTGTTCCTCCACTACTTAGCAATTCACCGTAGCCAATGGCACTGGACAGCTGAGGTGACCCTCTGCAGACGCCATGTAAATCCTGAGGAAAGGACTGAATTCCGCGACGACTCACTTTAGCCCATTGATACAGTGAGCATTGTAGAACTTTCATGTTGTATTGCAAAACATGTTGAAAATAGAAAGCATCTTTAACATTTCATATATTCTGTAAAATTACTGATAGTAAACCAGCCAAAAATTAATTCTAAATTTAAAACTTGAGCCACAAAAGACCAGCGCATTCACAGTCACCCAGAACCTTGCTGCCCTATTGAAAGGTCGCTAAGAGCCCCGGAAGGGCAAGGAGTAAGCAAATGTCCTCTGCCAGGCCCTGCAGCTCTGAAAACCCCGCTGCCCCTGCTCTGCCGATCACCTTCCAATTCCCACTCAGACCTTCTTACCTAATCAAGGAGTTTGCTTTCAACACCCAAGTTTAGAAAACAGTGTGGCAATAGCTGTCCTGTGGGTCTGGCCTCTGCGTCCAGCTGTACCTCAGGGTCTTTGCAACCTCCCTGTGCTGGAACCAGCCTTGGGGGCAGGACTCTCTCTTGGGAGCACCCTCTCGGCCTACATCTGGGCAGTACCACTAGTTCCCACCATGCTGTCTGCTCACATGTCTGCTGCCTGCTTGGGATCACACAGTCTCCAGGGAGGTGGGCTCGGCTCGCCTCTTCCTTCCTCCCCACCTGCCGTGCCGGGAGTGCTGCCTTTGCAATGGGGTCATGTATTGGTCGGTCACACATTCAGCCAAAACCTCCTTCTCTTTTCCTGCCCTCTGTGCCCAATCCATTCCTCATGAAACATATTCATTAAACGTGCGCATCTCCACCTCCGCTGGGGTGCTGCACAGCCCGGCATCTGCCTTTTCCACTCCGCAGCCCCTGCGTGCTGTGGCCACACTCTGAGGTGGAGCAGGGTCTGCCTGCTGGGACTCCTGCAGGCCTTTCACCCACCACAGGATGTTAGAAGAGGGGTGCTTAGCCCAATTCTGGAGCCTAGAAGCAGGGGCTTTACAGGTGGCAGCGGTAGATAAGCCAATCAGTAGCCCCCAAGACTGAATCTGGTCCTGCATGAGAAGAGGGAGAGAGACCTGAGACACACCCACATGTGTCCCCGTCTCTTTCCCCAAGATGCCCTCTGCTGCCCTACGAATCTGCCAGCAAGAAAACTTCATCACAAGGTGCAGCCCTTGGAGCTCCAGAACTGTGAGCCAAAATAATCCTCTTTAAAATTTAATCTCTGTTATTATGCTCACAAAAGATTAATACACCACGTGTTCAATATTTTTTGTTATAATCATACTAATCTTTCAAGTTTCAGTCAGCTTTCGCGTGTACCTACCTGAATTTCCAGTGGGTCCCCAGTATTAGGAGGAAATCCTACCACAGCCCGCGGGGCAGCCACCGTCCCCGCCCTTCCTCCTCTCTCCTACCCAGCTCAAGCTTTTTTCCTGTCCTGATAGAGCCTTGGTGTCTGCACAGGACCAGTTTGCTGCCATTGGTCAAGTGCCATCTCCAAGGCCACCCGCCTCGGCTTGCCCTGCTGGGCTGTCCTCGGCCCCTGCCCTTCAATCACATTCCCATTTCCTGTTTTACCCATAGCACTTACCAGCATTCTGCAGTTTGCTGACACCTTTTCTGTCTCTCCTGCTAATATACTACATCTTTAAGAGTAGGAACTTTTTATTTTTAATCTTACTTGTGATTTAACTACTACTTAGAGAAGGGTCAATCAAAATAATCAATGTTTGATTCAAATTCAGCTAAGTGAATGAACTAAGCAGTTCGTTGCCAGCTCACCTCACAGAAATGCAACTTCCATGAGATTAGACCTTGTCCTGAGTCACTGTGCTGGTGGCGCATGTACCTGTGTATCACTCTCCCTAGTGCTGGATACATTCTTATTAGTTGTTTTTTAGATATTTGTTGAATCCAAGATAAAGAAGCAAGTCTCAAGAAAATAATAGGTATAGTATTTCTAGGCTACAAATCAATATTTACTTACAATTGATATTATGGTAGCAGAAGTTAGAAACTCTAAAATTTTTGGCAATTTATTGGAAGGGCATAGGGCAAAGAACCCACTCTAAAACATGTAATTGAGACAGTGTAATTCATCAGCTTTTCATCCCGATCACAAAATGCTTGAGGTAAACAACATGAAAGGAAGAAAGGCTTATGGTTTTAATGGTTTCGGTCCATGGTAAGTGGTTCCATTACTTTAAGGCTGTGGTAAGTCAGAGCATCATGGTGGGGTGGCCATGCTAAAGAAAAATGGCTCACCTTATGGTGATCAGGAAGCAGAGAGACAACAAGAAAGAGGGGCCAGGATCCCAATGTATCATCCCAAGCACAACATCAGTAACCTACTACTTCCCCTGAGGCCATGCCTCCAGAAGTCTCCACCACCTTCCAAAAGCACCAGCATCTGGGGACCAAGTTTCACACAGGAGTCTTCAGAGACCATTCCAGATCCACACTGTAACACCCAACAGGTGTGGATTCCTGCTCCAGACCAAAGCACTCCATCCTTGCTTAGAGATGGCTTATGGATCGGTCCCACCCTCCTCAGGAATGCCTCTGCCCATTCAGGGAGACATTGGTCCACCCAGTGACCTGAGATTTGGGGAAACACAGTAAGAAATAGATCCTTTCCACACTCTAGGATTTCCTGAGAAATGTATCATAAATTGACTAATCCTCTTCTTTCCCTTGTTCATTTAAAGCTGTTGTTCTTCCTCTTAAATTTCTGTTGAAATCTATTCCTTGGAAACTTAGTCCAAGAGAGCTAGATCTAGGAATCAGTTCTACAAAGCAATTTTGGAGTTAAATCAACAGAGTAAAGATGAGGATGTGACACTCTGTGGAATCTAGATGACCCCTGACAAAAGGTGACAGCGTGCAATGGTTAAAACTTACTGGTAAAGTGTGATGAGATGCAAGTGGAACTGAATATGCAAATGAAGGAAATAGCTATGTTTGGAAATATCTTAGAAGGCTCAAGAAAAGTAGCAGTTGTGAAACTTACGGCCTCATGTGGCTGTTGCCAGAGGCTAATGAGATATTTGGGAAAAACAAAATAATTACAAGTTCAAGTGAAATCTAGAGCACAGTCCTCACCAGTACATGTAAAACTCTCATTCCTGCAATCAGAGGCAGAAAAGGCTGGAGATGAGCCTAAGCTTTATGCAGGGTCCCTCAGAGAAGGGTGACTTCTCAACCCTGTCCTCCAGGGAGCTGACTCCAAAGGAAGAGAAGCCTGACACTTGGCCTTGAGAACAACAGGGTTAGAGACTGTTTTGTGTTCCAGATTCCCTTACGCTTCTTCAACATGCTCTCTCTGTACCCAGTCCTGTTTCTCATCCTTTTTATGGGCCAGGTACCAAAAAACCTCACCAGTAAACCATCTGCAGGCCAGTAAACCATCTGCCTTTTCATCTTGGCATCTGTTTCCAAATGAACTTGGCCTGGGACATTACTAAATAAAGGCAAGTTCATGAAATATAGTTTTGCTGTGGGTTAGCTAAGTGGGTTAGCAAGTGCCATTATTTTGGGGAATACCCTAAGTGTTGATATTGTGGGACATGAACACTAAGAAGTGGCTCCTCCTTCACTTTATGGAAGAACTAATATAATGTGATACTGCTTTAGAATATAGGTAGGTAAGTGGGAGACACATAAAATAATAAACAATCAAATAGATGACACAGGTATAACATTTACTTCCTATGCAGTACCGTATCACTTAGAACCTCAGAGCACAGCTGTTCTCAAATGAACACAATATGACTATAAGCAGGAAGGTCTCTAAGAAGACACTGAAGATGTGATAACAACCATTCAAATCATAAACTGTATTTGAAGGGAAACTTCCCAGAACTCAAAGTTTCTTTCCTTTTAAACCCTAATCTTAAAGCCTTCATTTTCTGGTTTGAGACCAGCTATGAATTAGAGGCTACAAGTTAGTTATACATGCATAGCATGGTATTGTTTAAAAAATTACGAGATAAGACAGAAACGTCAAGGGAAGAGACAACCTCCCTGTGGGCAGAACAGTAGGCAGCGGGCTGGGCTTTGAGCTGCCCACTGCCTCTTTTACTTCTCTGCGGGTGCAAATTACTTTATCAGGTCTCCTTATTTTAAAAAATCTAGGCAGAGAGCAATGGCTGCCCAGCAAACAAGCACAGTCTGGGAGCAGCGCCGTGTGCAGGCCACTGCCAGACTGAGAATGACCAGACCCCAGACTCTTCCAGCCTGAGGACTGGCAAACAAGAAGTACCAGCCCCCCCCCCCCCATACACACACAACCCTGTAAGCAACCGGCTTATCCGGAGAAACACAGGCGTGATGATAGCTACAGAGGTGAAATGCAATCGGATGCCTGCGGTGCTTTGGTGTTTCACTGAAATTGCAGGTCTAGGGTCAGTTGTCTGATCATGGGATCAAAGTATAGCCATGTGCAATGTGACCTCTCCGTCTGAGGGTGGCAGCCATTGCTGATTAGCTGTGGTCTTGTTTTGAAGTTCTGTACCATTTCCATTGTTTTGTTGGGGTGAGTTTTATTCTCATTTGTTTTGTTTGATTATGTTAAATCCTATGACAGGAGAAGCTATTTCAAGGATT